AAACCAGAAGAGCAGCTCCCCGGCGCGCGCAAATGGGAACACCAGAAACAGGAAGAGCACCTCCCTGGCACACATGCACATGCTGGGAAGCTGAGCTTCCGGTTTCCGTGTGCACATACATGCCGCCCACATGGTCTTCAGGTTTCCGGCGCTCCCATGTGCGCGAAGACCAGCTAGCTGGCACACACGCGCATGCCAGAAGAGCAACGGGCGATGGCTGGTGTGCCTGGAGAGATGGTTCTGCATGCCACTTCTGGCATGTGTGCCATAGGTTCACCATCACGGTTCTAGACTCTATCCTCAGGGTCTTTATACTCCAATCTAACAAAAAACTGCTGACTAAAACACTCATTATGTACTCTGTTCCCTACTGGTGGTTAAGAAAGAACCATAAAAAGTGGCATTTTAGAAAAGACGTCTAAAAAACTGAAAAATATGTTTCCTGTTTGAATTTAAAAAAAATAATAAATCACATTCTGTTCAAACAAACTACCCAGTAGATCTTGTTTCGGTTCCCAATTGAAAAGATAAAAGCCTATAAATGAAAGATGCTGCCATTGAAGGTTTCTGGCTTATGTTCATTATTGTTTCTTCTATTTTGACTTTCTTTTCCCCTCACTATAATCATGCATAATAGCTGCTAAATGTGCATTACAGACTTGGATGGGGTTTTAATGGAAATAAGGGGTTGACATTAAGCACTAGGTAAAAAGGAATGGACATTTTCCCATATATAACTAAACCCATCAATTCAACAAATAAGGTAGAAAAGACAAGGGAGAAGAAAATGACATTTTCTAACAATTTACCACTCCTGTGCTGATGAAAACCACCCTATAAATGGCAGTATAATACAGAAAATTGTTTCCAAGGTGAGGTCAACTTTCAGGCTGAAGTTAAGTCTCTCCTAATAGAAAGAGTTACATTCCTTGGCATAGACACATTAATTATATAAATTTCATAGAGGAAATGCAGAGTCCTATAATCTATGGCATTGATTAATGCCACTCTCTTGATTTATCGTTGTGTATTTTTGAACTCTGTTTTTTAACAAGCAGCTAATTTAAAAGCTAGGTTTCAGTCACAACTTTTATGATGCTTTCAGCAGTCCCGTGGGTAACATGGAAATTGGTCTGTTAACACTTTTCTAGCCAGGCTCCAAATCTGCATTTTTTTCCTCACAGACAAAAGAATTATTTTTCAATAACAAAGTATGCTACATTTGCTTCTTCCAGTCTCTGTACTTATCTCTCACTGATCTGTTCAGCTATTCTTGAGAAAAAAACTCAGCCATTTAAAGCTACACCAATAGTCCATATCAGAGGTGGGTTTCAGAAGGTTCTGACCAGTTCTGGAGAACTGGTAGTGGAAATTTTGAGTAGTTCGGAGAACCGGTAAATACCACCTCTGACTGGCCCCTCCCCCATCTATTCTCTGCCTCCGGAGTCCCCTCTGATTGGGAGGAAATGGGGATTTTGCAGTAACCTTCCCCTGGAGTGGGGAGGGAATGGAGATTTTACAGTATCCTTCCTCTGGAGAGAGGATGGAATGGAGATTTTACAGTATCCTTCCCCTGGAGAGGGGAGGGAATGGAGATTTTGCAGTATCCTTCCCCTACCACGTTCACCTAGCCACGCCCACCAAGCCACACCATGCCCACCAAGCCACACCCACAGAACCGGTAGTAAAAAAATTTGGATTTCACCACTGCTCTCCCCCCACTCTGAAAATACAAAGGCCAGATATTTACTACTCTGTATACAATCTGCAAAAGGGACATGGTGGCTCAATGGCTAAGATGCTGAGCTTGTTGATTGAAAGGTCGGCAGTTCAGTGGTTTGAATCCCTAGTGCCGCGTAATGGGGTGAGCTCCCGTTACTTGTCCCAGCTTCTGCCAACCTAGCAGTTCAAAAGCACATAAAAAATGCAAGTAGAAAAATAGGAACCGCCTTTGGTGGGAAGGTAACAGCGTTTCGTGCACCTTTGGCATTTAGTTATGCCGGCCACATGACCACGGAGATCTCTTTGGACAGCACTGGATCTTCAGCTTTGAAACGGAAGTGAGCACTACCCCTTAGAATCAGGAACAACTAGCATATATGTGCAAGGGGAGCCTTTACCTTTAATACTTGTTAATTATGTTTATATATTTATCTTTTTATCGATGCCCAGAATCACTTCCATGAGATTGGTGGCATATAAATTTAATAGATAAATAAATAATATGCAGAGCTATTGAAAAATTCCACAGCTCGGCTACCTGGGGATCAAGATGCCAAATTAAGCCCTAATGTTTGCACTGCAACAACTCAGTTCATGTGAACTGGGTCTATTGGGCTTGGCATTCTCATGTGCTTGAGCTCTCTGGAGAGGTTTGGAGAGTAACTAAGTTTCCTTGCTTTCTTGCTCTATTTTTGACCTCCAAGGTAATGGCCTAAAGGTGAAATGGAAACAGGATCATGCCTAGCCAGCTTTCAGTCATCATGCTGGTAATTGCCAACAAGGAACCTAGTTGCCAGCTGTCTTATTTGCATCCACGATAGTGCTGAGCCTGGAGTGGACGCAGTGTCCTCGGGCTTGTGTCCCAAAGCTGTCATTTCTTGTCCTTCTGAACACTGAATGTTTGTATCCTGCTCTGGCTGCAAAACTTTAATAACTCATTAATTTTTAGAAGATGGTTTGTTAGCATCTGTGCCTTTCTCCTTTTTCAGTCATTACATCATGTATCTGAGGTGGCAGGCGCACTGAACAAATAGCTTTTCAGTTCCAAGACCAAATCCTTTATACCTAATGAATATTTCTCATTTATTGGCACAGAAGGTTCTGCTGATCTTTCAAAGTATTCAGACATCGTCTTTATAACTTTTTTTAAAAGAGCACTTTCCTCATACAGAATTCCCTATGCATATATGGAGGCTGCCATTCCAGGAAAAGACATGGCTATTTTGCAGAGTTACACATGGTGCTGTTTGCTTCTTTCCTTGCTTTGCACCCCCTTTTAGGGATTTGAACCCAGAGCACTACCTAGCATTTGCTAGGTTGGCAGAAGCTGGGGCAAGAATGGGAACTCACTCCATCGCGTGGTACTTGGGCCTCGAATCTGGGCTGCTGGCTTTCCATCACTGAGCCACTGTGCCATCCTAGTCAGTAGTGACTAGCAGAGCAAAATCTGCAGGGACTCCTTTACCTTTAACATATCTAGCATTTTAAGGTTTATGAGTCCCATTTTTTGTGTTTCAGCTTCAAATTAATTTCTGATCATCCAGGGAGATTGGGTGTGGATTGGGTGCCATTAATTTCAGTTTGATTTGATGAGATCCAGGAAGGACAGGAGCCTAGACTTACAACCATTAGTATAACCATTAAAAGTTACAGTAGCACTGAAAAAGAGACTTATGCCTGGTTCTCACACTTAACAACCATCGCAGGTCACAAAATGGGGCAAAACTCACTTAATAAATGTCTTGCATAGCAATGGAAATTTTGGGCCCAACTGTTGTCATAAGTTGAGGACTACCTGTACAGATTGTTATGTGGTAATGTTTTCCTGGATCCTGCAAGAGGAACACAGATACATAAATTTTGGTTCTGGGGCAACTATGTTTGGTTTAATATGGGTTTGGGCCAGTGGTGGGATTCAAAAAATTTTTACTACCGGTTCTGTGGACGTGGCATGGTTTGGTGGGTGTGGCTTTGTGGGCATGGTAGCGGAAGGATACTGCAAAATCCCCATTCCCTTCCCACTCCTGGAAGAGAGTTAAAACCTGAGTGTGTCAACTAGCATGGGGATCCAATAATGATAGGCAACCATGGAGGTGATTGGTGGTTTGAGGGTGCTCTCTCCATCTTTTTAGCTTAACTTTATCTTTTTAAATTTGTCTACTTTTATATGGATTTTATGGCTTATATTTGTAAAACTGGTCAGAGTCACTTAGATGGACAGTGTATATGTTTGATAAATAAATCTTCTTCACTGAGCTACACAGAATAATTTGGATGCTGAACAATTCAGGGACTGCATGTAACTTCTCACTGTAACTTTTGAGGCCACAAGAAGCTTAGGGGTGTCTGAGACCAAAACATTCCCTGTATTATGAAGTAGGGAGAGGAGGGGAATGATATTTTTTTGACAACCATATAAATATTTAAACAAATAAATGGCAAAAAATTAAGGCCTGCAGATTAGTCTTGGAATCTTACTAAATGCTGATAGAAAAGTAACTTTTCCTTTGGTGCCTCTGTCTGAAATTTCAGATTACAGAAACCATTAAGTTCACATGCTTGGCTAGTTGGCAGCCTTCATGGCTAAACTTCTAATCATTTCCTAAGGGTTGTTGGGAGCTTCTGCCTAAGGAATTAGTGCAGTGTTTCTCAACCTTGGCCGCTGGACGATGTGTGGACTTCAACTCCCAGAATTCCCCAGCCAGCTCTGCTCTGCTGGCTAGGGAATTCTGGGAGTTGAAGTCCACACATCGTCCAGCGGCCAAGGTTGAGAAACACTGAATTAGTGTATTTCAGGAGTTCTCAAGAGGGTCATATCCCCCCAAGGGGGGGAGGGGCATAACCACTTTTCTAGATTTTAATACGGTAGTTTAGACCAGGTTTCTCAACCTTGGAGACTTTTAAGCTACATGGACTTCAACTCCCTAATAATCTTTATATATGATATAATTTTGGTCAGTCAGTCATGCTGGCTGGCTGGGGAATTCTGGTTCACACATCCTTAAAAGTCTCCAAGGTTGAGAAACATTATTTTAGATGCATAAATAGAGCGGGTTGTAAAGGACCTTTATGTCTAGCTAATGGGGGAGGGATCACAACACTATATAAGGCTCAGAAGGAGCAAAGTACAGGTTGTGAAGCTGTGGTCCAGTCCCCCTGAAGCCTTTTGAACTACATTTCCCAGTGTTCCCTGAGAAAGGCGCAGATTGGATGGTACCAGATCAAAGGCTTCCGCATTCCAACAGGGGGCTCAATCCCAACGGCTTCTTTCACGAGCCCTAAGCCCCGCCTCCCGCTTCCAAGATGGCGGCGCCCATGATCGGCGACTTGTGACAAGATCGTGAGGCGATCGCGGCCTGGGCTATGAAGCGGGAGGCCTGTTCCTCTTCGGCGGCTAACGGCAGCCAGGCCGCCGGGAGGAGAGGCGGAAGGAGGCGGCCTCCGCCAAAGAAGCAGCCGCCGATCGGGAAGCTCCACAAACTGGGACTGTCGGTGAGGGGATTCGTGGAGGCCGCGGTGGGGCCCGATGGCGATGGCGATGATGGTAGCTCCACCGGATCCCTTCAGCAGCCGGCTTGGATCGGCCGCAGGAATCGACGAGAAATGAAGCGAGAGAAGCGCAAGTTGAAGCGAGGGCGGCGGAAGCGGCTCCTGATCGCCAACGGGGAAGCGAAGATCCCGCGCCTCTTAAAGACACCCTCCATTAGAAAGAGGACCCCGCCGCCACCGGTGGAAGAAGATCGAAAAGAAGAAGAGAAGAAGAAGAAGCCGCCGCCGGCCAACGGTCAGCCGCCGTCCAAGCAGCCCCGGACAGCTCCTTCCGCTACAGCCGCGACTCGCAAAAGAGCCCTGCTGGCAGCCAACGAGGCGGAGGAGCGGGAGATCCGTCGCCTGGAGCGGCAATTGGGGCTCCACAAGCGCCGCAAGAAGCAGCGAGGGGGAGGCGACCAGGAGGGGGAAGCGGCGGAGGCATCCTTGCCACAAAGCTTCGTCCGGGACGGGCTGGATTACGTGTTGGGTGCGCTGAAGTCCGAGGCCGCTTTCTCGGGCCTCTACGAGAATGGCGATGTGGGAGAAGGAAGCGGGACAGAAGAAGAAGAAGAAGAAGGCCTGAGCCCGGGAGAGGAGGGCGAGGATGAAGTGGGAAGCTCCGGGGATTCCAGCCAGGAGGAAGGAAGCGAAAGTCCTTCTGAAGAAAGGGAGTCCAGCCAAGAGGCTGCCAGGCTGGCTGGGGGATTCTCGGAGTTGAAATCCGCAGATCTTAATATTGGCATGGCTGAAAAACAGAACTGCCAAGCATGGAGCCCTGAGGTGAACCAGTACAATGGCTGTTGAAGCCCCCCTACACACACACACACACACACACAAACCCAGTGGCAAAGTAGAGAACCGGTTTAGTGCAGTGATTATGTGGCTGGCGTAAAACCAGGAGACTGGGAGTTTTAGTCCTCCCTTAGGTATGAAAGCAGCCGGGTGACTTAGATTCGGACACACACACTCAGCCCAGCTTACCTTACAGAGATGTCGTGGGGGAAAATACATGAGATGGGAGTGTTGGGCCCTTTTGCTGCCTCCAGGTTTATATTTTTGAAAAAGGTGGAATCAATAATAAAGTAAACAACTCTGAGTAAAACGGATGAGGAGTCCAATTGGAGTCAGTGTCCCAACTGTCTTTTAGCTGCACACATTGTCAGGTTGCCTTTGTTAAGTTCGAGGTTCAGGAGTGTTATTTTATTAGTATATCAGTTATTGTGTAAGAGTGGTTATTTAAAAGGTGTGTGCACTAACATTCTCATTACTGATAATATACAAAAAAAAGGTGCATTTTCATTGCTAATCATTAATTTGTTTAATAAAACAAGTTTCTCTTTTTTTATATAGAATCCTAACCAGGATGCTGTAAAGTATGTTCCACCTCAAATGCGAATTTCCGAAGAAACAATAGATTCCAAAAAGAAACAAGAATTGGAAAGACTAAAGAAAACCGTGAAAGGTCTGATTAATAGGTAATACTGAAATTATGCTAATTTCCATACTTCATGAAAGCACGGAGGCCTGATCTCATTTGCACAATTCTGATTTGTTTTCACTCCTTCTTTAGGTCATCAGAACTGTCTTAGAATCATAAAGTTGGAAAGGCCAATAGAATCCAATGTCCTAGTCAGGATAAAAATCCAAAATAAATCCCACAGTATCTACTTTTTGCTTCTATGTTTCTAGGTAATTGTTTCTCTTTCAAGTTGCTCTTACAATTCAAAATATTCTTCTCCTAATGTTTAAGCAGAGTCTTCCTTTAAGACTAATATCTTGAATGCCTTCTGTATGAGTTGGGAAGTGGTAGCCTATCCTCTTGTTTTCTTTCTACAAGCAAAACTTTCTCAGGTTCTCCAATCTCTCTTGATAAAACTTGGTTTCAAACCTCTTGATCATCTTCACTGTTTTTTATGAATATAGATATATTTATCTAAAACCTTCAAGTACATGTAGTCCTCAACTTACAACAATTTGTTTAGTGACCATTTGAAGTTACAATGGCACTGAAAAAGGGACTTATGACTGTTTTTGACCCTTATGACCGTTGCAGCATCCCAATGTCACATGATCAAAATTCAGACGCTTGGCAACTGACTCATATTTATGACTGTTGCAATGTCTGTGGTCATGTGATCACCTTTTGCAGCCTTCTGACAAGCAAACTCAATAGAGAAACCAAATTCACTTAACAGCCATGTTACTAATTTAACAATTTAGCAACTGTGGCAAGAAAATTTGTAAAATGGAACAAAACTCATTTAACAAATGTCTCAATTAGCAACAAAAATTTTGAGCTCAATTGTGGTTGTAAGTTGTGGACTACCTATATAGTACCTTACAGCTTAACACAGTAACTAAGGCAGTGTATGAGTAATGCACAGGTTACTTTTATTAATGCAAGTTTCATAAGTTCCATTACCAAGCAAGGTATCACGCATCCTATATTTCTGCGTTTCACAGTTTCCTGATGGAAGACTTTGCCCTGTGTAAAATGACATTTAAATAGCAGAGTGAAACCTCTTAAGGTGAGATAGGTATCATTGCTATTTCCTTTGGGGAGCAAAAGCAATGTTAAGCAAAGAAAAAATAAGAAGTAATCCCAAAAAAATTAAAGGCATTAATTTTTATATTTTTATAGATTCCTATTAAGGGATCTAGACTTTATATATCCCTATTAAGGGATATAGACTTAGTTATATCCTTAAGTCTAGTTTGCAACAATGCCATTCACTGAATTCCTCTGTACTTGGATTCAAGTCAGAGATGACTCTTAGCAATTATATAGATAAACTTTCTCCAGGATGGTCTGTTCCCATCTTGGTCCTTCAAGTCTTCCAACAGAAGAATTACTACTGTAATTGAGCCCATGCACTTTGCTATAGGTCATCTTCCTTCTTTGCATCTTTGCACATATTGTAAAATCCTCAAGGTTTTGTCATGATTGTTTTTTTAAGCATCTACAGGTACTCTGAGTTAGGACCTTTCTGTTATAACTCACATCAGATCCGATTTTACAACATTTTTATGATCGTCATTAAGCGATTTGACCATTAAGTGAATCATCATGATTGTTAAGCGTATGTTGTAGTCATAAATGCAAATTCATTTTTCTGAATGGGTGTTTTTTGCTTGCAAAAAGCAGTTGTAAATGGCAATCACATGACCATAGGACATTGCAACCAGTTATAAATGTGAGCCAGTTGCCAAGGGCCCGATCACATGACCACAATGGAGTTGTGTAAGAATCAGATTTTTTTCAACACCATCATTAAATGAACAATGGTAACCTGAGCACTACCTTTATCATTTTTAAACATTTCATACAGAATATCTCATATTTGTAAACTCTACTAAAAAGCCTATATTAGGCTGGAAACAGAAAGACGCCATGCAACAGGAAGTGTGAATAAAAAGCACATTTTTTTAAATTTTTGGACTAAATATAAACACATAAAATATGGTTCAGATCAGATTTAGATGGAATTTACATATTAAAATGAGGAAAATCCAAAAATACATCAAGATATACTTTAAACGCCCATATTTGGAATGGAAGTATTTAATAGGACTGGCTAATGGTAATACAAAAATACATATTTTAATTTTACTCTTACATGATTGCTTCCTACTAGGTTGAGTGAATCAAATCTAGCCTCCATCAGTGGGCAGTTGGAAGAACTGTATATGACAAACAGTAGAAAAGATATGAATGAAACATTAACAGATATTCTTATCTGTGCTTGTGTTATGGAATCAACAGTGCCTTCCAGACTCCTGTTGGATCATGTTCTGTTGGTTAGTGTTCTTCATCAGACTGTGGGAATCGAGGTAACTTTTCTTCACAGTTCTTTAATTTGTCATACACAAATTGAGAAAATAGTACAGGTAATCCATGACTTACAACCAAGTTGAGCCCAAAATTTTATGTTCCTAAGCAAGACAATTGTTAAGTGAGTTTTGCCCCATTTTACTACTTTTCTTGCCATAGTTGTTAAATGAATCACTGCAGTTGTTACGTTAGTAACAGGTTGTTAAGTGAATCTGGCTTCCCCATTGACCTTGCTCATCAAAAAGTCACCAAAAGTGATCACATGACCCCAGGGCACTGCAACTGTCATAAATGTGAGTCAGTTGCCAAGCATCTGAATTTTGATCATATGGCCATGGGAATGCTGCTATGTTTATAAGTTAAAAAATGGTTGTAAGTCACTTATTTCAGTGTCATTGTAACTTCAAACAGACACTAAACAAATGGTAGTAAGTTGAGGACTACCTATAAAATTCATTATTGGGCACTAATTATATTCTGGTAATTTCACAATATCTTGGTACCTGTTTTGTAACATTAAGGTTTCATTCAAATGTGACCAATTTGAATACTCCTTAGTAGACTGGCAGAATATATTAAAAATGCTTACAAGGATTAGTTATTTAAGCATCAGATGTTAAGATGAAAAGATGAAGATTTTTATATTGATAGAAAAGTTACTTTTCCCCCATTTCTCTAATTCCTAGCCCTAGCCTTTATTATATTAGGTTAGCAATAATTTACTCATCAAAACAGTTTTGACACTGATTTCTAAGACTGTATCCCAATATTAAAGATGCTTGGAAAGAAGCTAGACCTAACAAAATGATATTCCACTATTTGACTAAATTTTAACTGCCCCAGTGGAAGAAATATGATGAGAGAAGAAGGAAGGTTAATTTTATATATTTCACTTGTTTTGTAAATATAACCCCATTCTTTTACCTCAAGTGTAAAATATGAAGCACTCTTACAGGAAAGAAACTTACAGGAATAATACAGTAAATATTATGCTACTGATAGAACTGATGAGTTACAAGCTGAAAATGTTGAGTGGGGAGTCCTGCAATCAGTTTACTTCAGAGGATTATTATAAAGACAAATGGAGAGGCAAGAATAAAATAGTATCAAATACGGGTAGTTCTCATTAAATTTATTTATTTATTTACCAAAAATTTATATGCTGCCATTCTCCCTAAGGACTCAGGGCGGCGAACACAAGTTAAAAACATACAACATAAAACATAAAAATGACCATAATTGTAGCAAATTCCATATTTGTGGCTTAATTTAAAAAAATTACCTGCCTATTTTCTTTCTATAGGAATGCCTCGATCCAATGCTGTACTCAGAAGTCATGCTTAAAGAGCTTTTTCTTTATATATGTACTCTTACCTCTCTGTTAGTCTTATTTTTTTTAAAAAAAACTACATTTGTGGTAAGAAGGGCTGTGCTGCACCCACTTTCCTGAACTCATCAATATTTTCACATGAGGCATTCCAAGTTAAAAAAACATAAGCTTAACTGTGCAATGATAGGATAGTACAATATTTAATAACATATCTATGCAAATTCTAAAAAATTGAATAGAGTGGGTTGCTACACTGGTGATGTTACCTAATTTGAGATGCCTGCAAGAAAACAGCCAAGTTCAGGCCCCCTCATTTCAACCCTGAGCTACAAATATTCTCTTTTATTGATATATGTCGCTAATTAGCACTATAATTTTAATAAATTTTACAAAAGATAAGGATAAGGATAATTTTATTTCTATACTGCCCCTCTCCCGAAGGACTCGGGGCGGTGTACAGCCAGGTAAAAACACAATACAAATGTCACAATTTAAATTTAAAAATTATTAAAAGTGTTACATTCAAGGCCAATTAGCTAAAAAAAACCCAAAATTTAAGAATTCCGAATTTAAAACTCAGTTATGAAGCTAGCCCTGCTTGTCAGAAGAGCAGGGTCTTAAGAACACAGCGGAAAACTCGGAGGTCAGAGATCTTGCGTATCTCCGGGGGCAGTTCATTCCAAAGGGCAGGTGCCCCCACAGAGAAGACTCTCCCCCTGGGTGTCACCAGCCGACATAATTTGGCCGATGGCATCCTGAGGAGTCCCTCTCTGTGGGAGCGAACTGGTTGGTGGGAGGCTATCGGTGGCAGAAGGCGGTCTCGTAGGTACCCAGGTCCTGAGCCATGGAGCGCTTTAAAGGTGGTAACCAGCACCTTGAATCGCACCCGGAAGACCACTGGGAGCCAGTGCAGCTCGCACAGGAGAGGTGTTACATGGCGCAATGAGTTGCACCCATAATTATCCGCACGGCTGCATTCTGGACCAGTTGGAGCCTCCGAGTGCTCTTCAAGAGGAGCCCCATGTAGAGAGCATTACAGTAGACCAGCCGGGAGGTAACAAGGGCGTGAGTGACTGTGCGCAAGGCATCCCAGTCCAGAAAGGGACGCAACTGGCGAATCAGGCGGACCTGATAAAAGGCCCCCCTGGCCACGGCTGTCATAAGGCTGAAGATAATGCCTTTTTCTGGTTAGCTGGTTAGCAATTTATGGGCCACAACACTAGTTATGTATATTGTTAGGTTTTACTTTTCAAAATAAAGACTTAACCAGTCAATGCTTTAACTGTCTTTTTTATATTTGCATGTATATAAATCTATTCCAGGTTGGTGCTCACTTTTTGGAAATCGTGGTGAGGAAATTTGATGATGTCTACAAAAGCGAAGCTGAAGGGAAAGAATGCGAGAACTTGCTGATTTTAATTGCTAATTTGTATAATTTTTATGTAGTGCATTCAGCGCTTATCTTTGATATCTTAAAGAAGCTTCTTAGCACTTTTTCTGGGAAGGATATTGAACTGATCCTGCTGCTGCTGAAGAATGTGGGCTTTTCCTTGAGGAAGGATGATGCCCTAGGACTAAGGGAACTTATCAATGAGGTCCAGATAAAAGCAGATGCAATGGGGAAACAATTTCAGGACCAGTCAAGGGTATGAATACATTTTTAAAAAAATAATTTTTAGAGCAGTATTTTTCAGCCTTAGCAGCTTTAAGTTATGTGGGCTTCAACTCCCAGTATCCCCACCCAACTTGCTGGCTGGGAATTCTGGAAGTTGACATCCATGTATCTTAAAGTTGCCATGGTTAAGAAATACTGTTTTAAAGCATTCTTATTAGGAGGAGAATTTGGCAGGAGCTTTAGTGCATTTATATTGGGAAAAAATGCAGTTTGTATTTACTGAGATACAACTTTGATTAAACATTAAAGCTGTACCTTTTTGTCATCAAAGTGTGTTGGGAGACCAGTAGCAAGATGATGAAGAGTTCTTTTTTAAGAGAGCAGACAGAAATCTGGAGATAATATTTCTCCTTTTAGTAGCATGGTTGGTAGTACATGGATGTCCTTATTTATATGAGATGGGTGGAAGTGTAAAATATCATGAACATCTCATTGTAAATACTTAGCTTTTCAAATACAACATTTTCGTAATTTCAGGCCTTTCCCAACAGATTTGTTAAGGTGGATCAGCGTTGTTAGTCTTTTTTTAGTTGAAGACTGCATCAAAAAGACATTGACTTACTTAAAAGTAATAATTCTTAGTGATTATACTGTACAAAAACAAGGCTAAACTTAGGCATGTTATGAGTAATAGAAACATCAATCCAAACTCTGTAAAATATAACTTTGGTGTAGTCATCAGGAATTGAACTCTGCCCAGTATATTTTTATACTGAGCAGTATATTTTCTATATTTTTTATAGATTTGAACACCCCCTTCTCAATAGTACTTTTTAAAATTAGTAAGGTAATAATGGCTGGAGAAGAAACTTAGTGAAATATTTTGTTGGGTAAGTTTTAATATGAGTTGTGAAGATTAGTATAAAATAGTGGCCTAGCTACACTCTCTTTTTCATATCTCTATTGGGAAAAAAATCGTATTTGGAATAATAATGCAGGCTTGTTATATTTTTCAAAGGTTTGCTTTATGTTGGAGATTATGTTGGCGCTAAAAAATAATGACTTGAGGAAAATTCCTGGTTATGACCCAGAACCCATTGAAAAATTACGAAAACTGCTGAGAACACTGGTAAAGTAGAAAAAATACTTGTTCCTTCTTAAAAATGTGTATTTTCTTAATAGGATTTAAACAATAATAAGAACTGTTAGTATAATGAAGATTTTGAACATACTAATATAAAACTGTAGCAAAATAGAATTAAGTTTGCAGGAGCTAAATCAATTGATGATTTTGTTAATTTATTTAAAAATAGCCCAGGGTCAAATAAAACACAATCTTGGACTTTTGGTTACATTTGAATAAGGAAAGATGAACAGTAATCATACTGACCTGTCTTTCAATATAAATATCTTTTTAAAAAAAAGAAAAGAAAAGGGTTGGTGTGAACACATTTTTTTTCCCCTACAGACACATAATAGTAGTTCCGGAAAAGAATCTCAACTTCGTGTGTCATTGGAATCTCTTCTCACAGCTGATCGGGTTGGTCGCTGGTGGATTGTTGGGTCCTCTTGGAGTGGTGCTCCAATGATTGACAGCACTAGCAACAAAACTGAACAAATACTAACAAATAATACTGTGGGAAAGGTAATGGTACCCTAATATTTTTCTTGCACTACGGTTTAAATAGTTTCTCAATACATTATGCTTTTTTTTCTTCTAGTAAGCTTTTTTTTAAATAACATTAATGAATATGATGGTGCTAGAGTTCCTTGGAAACTGATTTGCTCCAAATTGTGTTCAATGGTGATTGAAGTACAAAATATTGCATTCTTAACATAGTTGGAAGAATGAGCGGGGTTTTCCTATTTTTAACACCCACCACTTTCTTTTTTAAAAAAAAAAAAAATCTCCTTATTTGCTTTTCTTCCAAATCTAAATGATGAACAGCAAGCAGCTGCATTTATTATTCAGTGCTCACACAACAGTCAGCAATAATCTGCAATAATTATATAATTATATTTCTGTAAACTGTCACTATGAGTTAGACGGCCATATAAATTTTATAAATAAATAAATAAATCTGGCTGAAAACACAATTACCAGCACATTAGAGAAGCCTTAGCCATGATTTGTTGACAAACACTAACCCAAAGTCAACCAAATAAATTACATGATTTAAGATGACGCATGAATCCAGTGTTTGTGTTCATTACAAATATACAAAACCTATATTTTATTTCACCCCCAGAATGACTGCATCAGTTTTTTTCTGGAGAAAAATCAGCATGTTCTGGAGTTCTCAAGAATATTTCATTCCCAGAAAAACATACCTGGAGTTGTTTTTCAAAAACTCCTGTCTAGACCTACTTTATAGCTTGGGAGAAGCTAATACCACACCAGCCTCACTGTTAACTTTGCTCCTACTATTTATTTTCCTCTAAAGACATGATTTTTAAAAATAAAATATTAATTATTTACATAATACTTCCTTCTTAACCCTTCAGGTAAGCACAAGGATTCTGAAACTCTCTCGTAAGCAGAGAATGAATACTGATATCAGGAGAAATATATTTTGCATCTTGATGACAAGCGAAGATTTTTTGGATGCCTTTGAAAAACTTTTGAAGTAAGTATGTACTCGTCAGGCCAGATGAAGATATTTTCAGGAACGCAAATGAAATTTACAACCATATTGGCTGCAAGAGATAGAAAAAAGAGAATTTCTCTTGCTTGAGGCAAAGAAAGAATAAGAGAACAAGGAGCGATATTGCTAACAACAGATTAGCTTCAGGCTTAGGCAAGACTGAGTTTTCTCCTAAGAAGAGCTAAGCTAAATCACTTGTACAAAGGGGTCCTCGTCTACCTAGATGACATCTCTTTGGGTCAGCTAGGCCAGTTTTGATATTCAAAACTGATATTTTGTACTACATATGTGAGGACTTGCTTATGGTTAAGAAATATACACAAATGTGCCTAGGAGATCTACAGATTAAGAGGCAAAACATTGTTAAATGTGTTATTGTGTAAGAACTGTGAAGTACCTGCTGAATAAAGAAATTGAGTCTTCAACTACAAATAAATTAAGCCACTGATCAAATAGCTTTGGTAATATTTAGTTTAGCAGTAAAAGACATAAAATACTAATTGCAAATATATTTATATATTGAGATTTTTGACATGATTATACATCTATTTGTATATACTTTCAGAATCTTTAGAAGTTAATTGCATTTCTTTGATCTTTCCCAGGGAATTTTCTATTGCATTTATTTGTTCTAAATTGCAAGTTTTACTTAGTTGATCTAAGTGAAACATAGCTTACTGTAAAATGGAACACTTATGTTCAAACAAGAGTCAGGTACTTCATCTCAGTAAAAAATAAAACGATGCAAGTATTTGTGCATCTTACACTCTGCATTGTAGTATTAAGCATTTTTCATTTTAATTGATTTTAGTACTGCCAAGCCTTTGACAGGAAGGCTAAATCAGGCTTCTTTGGACAGAACAGGTACTGCCCCAAGTTGAGACTTTTTCCTGCCAATTGTTCCTGATTTTCTTTTGAGGTCCAGCTCTGTGAGAAGAAATATGATTCACTCCTGCCAGACTTTCTGCTGAGGCAGCCAGTGAGGTCTCATTAATGCTGATTATATTTATATAATTAGTTGGATTGAGATTCCCAACACCCTCAATTAGGAATTAGAAAAACTTGGAAGATAGTTTCTCCTTGGTAACTGCCACTAGTAACTTCTTTTTTCTGTGTCAGGGTGATTATTATTAATCTAGAAATTAAAGGGAACTTTTTCTTCAGTTCTTTTGATTGCCAGGGTATTTAAATATGAATGAAACTAAACTCTTTCCTATAACCCTTGCATTCTTTCTTCAGTTAAAATATCATGAACTTTGTACTCACTTCTAGCCAACCTTTGGAAATGCATTTTTAAGCATATATATAAAAATCTTCCTCAGTTAGAGGGCTGGAAGATGAAATCCAACAGATCAAAAATTACCCAAATAGAGAAGAATAAAATAGAAATATCTCACAGACAAGTGATAAGTTGGGTGTTTTCAAATTAGGAAACTAAGGTGTGTGGACTTAAACTTTAAAATGTGTGGACTTCAGTTCCCAGAATTCTCTACATACTAGTTGAGAAATTCTGGGAACTAAAGGCTACACATCTTAAAAGTTGCCAAGTTTGATCAACAAATACTAGATTTATCTAAACTAGGGGTGTCAAACTCAAGGCTTAGGTCTGGCCCACGGGGCTGGTCTGGAAATATCAAAGAACCACCTGTTTTCAGCCTCCGCGGCCTCCTGTAGCACTCTTGCCAGTTGAAAATGGCCCACAGGGGGGCTCACGAGCCACCACCATCCCGCCGTAGCCCATTTTCAGCCAGCAGAGTGCTGCAGGCGGCGTCCATCCCATCTCTTCTCCTCCCTCTTCTCCCCCCCCCCCCGCGGGCTGGCGGGGGAGAGCTACAATGCTGATCCGGCCCTCAAAGAAATCCAGTTTGACACTCCTGATCTAAACTGTCCTAGAAGGGACTATTCATAATAGTTCTTAGGCTGGCAAAACTATTTTTAGAATGTTTCTGTATAAAAAGTTTAGAAAACAGGATTTTCATTATGACAATTTATGTATTAGGCTTAGGCTTAAAGACCAACAGGAGAGAGAAATAGTCCATATCCTCATAGATTGTTGCCTGCAAGAGAAGACCTACAATCCCTTCTACGCATATTTATCCGCCAAGTTCTGTGAATACGAAAAGCGATTTCAGGTGAGTACAAAGCTTGTTTTATTTATTTTTTTGCCAGTTATACAGTTGACATTCTGAGATTAGAAAGGATATTATCAAATTTTAGGTAATGAATTTCTAGAAGCAAAGAAAAGTGTTAAACACTTCTGTGTGTCTGTAAATCTCCCCCTGTCCAAAAAGAGACCCTGATTTGAAAAGGCTACAGAGCTGAGTTGAACAATATTTTGTGCGCAGAAGAGCTCAGCATCTCTGCAGCTGGAGGTTTCAGACAAATTTCAGAAGGGTGCTGTCTTCCCCTTCACCCCGAATCTCAACTCTCTTCTCAGATTCCTAAATATATTTGAAAGGAAGGAAAGACCAAAGGCCAGGTTGTGTTCTCACCTCTGTTTCAGCCTTCTGAAGAACGAAGTATAATTTGAGACTAGGGAGCGCTACAAAGCCAGCTTCTTCCCTTTGATGCTGTTGAATCCTTTCTATTCTAAAAGGAGTAGCTGTCTTCTGTTTTTATAGTAGGTAGTTCTGGCAAGAAGAAAAACCGCTTGGAAATAAAGAGATCTCTCCTGTGCTGTGATTCATTGGTTTTATTTATTTGGTTTTTAGAGCCAGACACTTAGGGTGGCCTGCAGATAATTGAAACCATCTTTTAAAACATTTTTTTTAAACTGTTTGGGGGACCAAATTAGATCTACAGTATTACACCATTGCTAGTGCATAACAAGACTACACATAAATCTAAACCAGAGGCAGCTGAGGTCTTAAGCTCCTGAAAGCCGATAGGATCTGGGCCATAGAAGCCTCAGGAGGAATACTGTTCCGTGGGGCAGGCTTGCAAGAGAGAAGGCATGCCTGCTGAGTCCCATAAGGTGCCTTTCTTTCATTGATGGGACTTGGAGCACCCAAAACCTGTGAGATATTATTGCATAGGCATGAAGAATTGGGAGAGAGGCAGTCCTGAACATATCCAGGCCCTGTGCATGAAGGGTTTTATCTGATTATCAACACCTTGGTTTGCACTCAGAAGCAATGGCGACTCATTGGCATCATGGTGGCTGGAAGGACTTGGCTCTTCTCATTCGCTTTCTGTGGCTGTCAATCTTCGGCAACTTTTAGCGATGTCAGTTTAACTGTGAAATAAAAGATAGCAAAATAACAGAGTTGGAAGAGGCCTTGGAGGTCTTCTAGATGTGCTCTTAGGGGACATGGTGAAATACTGTTTTATTACAATGCTTTCTGCTTTTATTTTGTGAATTAGGTCACATTACAGTTCAGTATCTGGGACAAAATCAGAGATTTAGGAAGCCTGTCCGCTGCTGCTTTCTCCAATTTAGTTAATCTTGTAACTTATCTGCTGAAGACTAAATGGCTCTCTCTTACTGTCTTCAAGGTAAATAAAATTATTTTTAAAAATGTTTAAATGTTTACAGCTCTCAGGCTCATGCATAGTGCATGTGTGGTTTTGTTTGTAATTCCTCCTGTCAAGGCAGAATATATGACTCATTAAATCTCAAAGGAAAATTATCAGCATGTACTTTTTTTGTGCTAGTTTTCATTTTGCATGTAATCCTTAACTTAATGACCAGTCACTTAATGACCATTTAAAGTTACAATAAGGGAGCTTTGTGCCCTGGACAGTACTATTCCAGGTTCCGTTTCAAACTTATTCCAGCAAATTCCCTCGGTTCTAAGCAATCGTGCATGTAAATGATTAGCGTATTTGGATTTCAAAGAAAAGGATTTTCAGTACCAGGGCAGAGAGGTAGTGGTAAGATAAGGAGTGCCGGGTGCCCTGGGAGGCCTGGCACATGCCACATGCAATCTCGGTTTGGATTTTCAGCCCCTGAGCAAAGAGACATGTGGGGCTTGTGCCAGGCCTCCTAGAGTCTCCCCCACCCCACTGAGCACCCTCATCTTACATAAGACTCTTTTCATTAATAACCTGATTATTCTAGCTGGCAGTAACTAGGAGATGGGCCTGCTCTTCTGTTGCTCCTGCCCTATGGAACATCTCTTACCCCCAGAGTGAAATCAGCCACAGCCCTTCTGATCTTCCGTAAGAGCCTAAAGAGCTGTCTCTGCCAGTTAACTTGGGGCTCCAACTGGAGCATCACAGTGGAGGCGATTGATCAATTAACAACACCCCACCTCCCTCCCCATCCTGCTAATATCCTTCCTGTCTTTTAATTGAGTCAAAATGTTTTTATTTTTTTATATGTATATATAAATATTTATATATTAAGAATTGTCCTAAAGATGCGAGTTCCAGGTATAGTTGTAGAAGAAGTGATAGACATCACGATCTCCGGAAACTCTTTTAAACTTTTAAATGTTCCGGAGATCGTGATGTCTATCGCTTCTAGATTTATATATATATATAAATATTTATATTTTTGTATTTTATTTTTATTGTTTTATATCATACATTTCTTTTATATCTTGAGGAGTCTGCCCACTAGGTGTCCAAGGTTTTAACATACGAACAAACATCATCATCCTCGCCATTATAATCATATGTATGTAAACAAATATACAGTAACACATAAACAAATATACGATAACATCCATCATATTATAACATATTATCTTCCATTGTAATATCAATTATATAACCATCAAGTAAGAAAAAAAAATATTACCCGTCTGTTTTCCTTTCTCATATACACCATATTCCACCCAATTTTACAACGATGGTCCATCTCTTTCCATCTCTTCCCTTCTCCTTCCCTCTCTTCCCTTCTCCCCCCCACTTCTCTCTCCTTCCCTTTTTCCTTCTCCTCTCCTTCCCTCTCCTTCTCTTCTCCCCTCTCTACTTCCCTTCCCTTTCCTCCCTTTTTCTCTCCTCCTCTCCCTTCTCCTCTCTCTTCTTCTCCACTTCCCTCTCCTTCCCTTTCTTCTACTTCGCTCCTCCCATCCGTTTCTCTCTCTCCTTTCCCCTCTCTACTTCCCTCTTCTTCTGTCTCCTTCCTTCTCCACTTCTCCAATCTTTCTCCCCTCCTCTCCTCCACCCCACCCCACTCCACTCTACTTCCCTCTCTCCCTTCTTCTCTTCACCTCTCTTTCCTTCCATTGTTTCCTTTTCATTGTTGCATATAAATTTCCAATTCTCTACAGAATTTTCCAAATATCACCTCTTTCAAATATAACTACATTTTTTTAAAAAATTACGTTAGAAGAAAACAGACTTAATATCTACATGAAGGGAGTGTTGATGGCAATAATAATCATGATTATAGTAACATAACGATAATAATTATTCTTCATGTTAATAATTTTTCATTCTTTAATCATTCTCTTAACCTTTTAATTTCTATCTTTTGCTTTTATTGATTAATATTTTTTGAACACATACAGTCATCTTTCATTTTCTAATCCATTTAATATTTAACTTGTTATATAAAGATATACGTAATGATATTTTCCCCGTTTCTCAAATCCACCTCTATCCTAGTTCTCATGCACACAGCTCCTGGTTTAAAAGTATTCTACAACTATCCCTCAATTCCTGCCCATCTTTTATTATTATTATTATTCTTTTATTCTATAGAAAAACAAATTTCCCAAATCTAGATTATTTCTATTTATCCAATTTACACTCCCACTGCCTTAATATTTAGAAAGCTACCCTTTTTAACCATCATCTCTTGCTCTCATTAACGCTTCTATTCTTATCTGTTTTTTTAACTCTTTCCCCCCACTCTTCTTTTTCTCTATTTTCACCTCTATCTTTCTTATTTAATCCAGACACTCCTCTCAATATATTTTATACTGCCACTTCTCCCACGTATCTTCCCATATCCCAATTTGTTCATCCACAATATCTTCCTGTCTGTTCATTTCCTGATTTAACTGTTTTATTTTGGTCAATCTTTCTCCTTTATCAGCTGATTTCTCAGTCCTATTTTTTGTTCCAGTCCTTGATTTATTTGTTGATTTGGCCAATTCCTCTGTTTTTTCCGCTCCTTTTGCTTGCCATTTGTCTTGTCTTCTTCTTTACTGAGCATTTGCTCATTTTTCTGATCCGTATTTGTTCCTTGTTCATATTCAATTTGCTGCTTTTTTCTATCTTGTCTTTCTATTGCTTCCACCGTTTCAAGGACAGTTTGGTCTTTATTTGTAGTTCTTTGTAAAATATTTTCCATTTTCTCATCTATACCATCTATCAGAACTTCAATGCTTTGAAATATCAAAGTCACCTCATGAAAAAGCCCACTCATTTCCACAGCTGTTTCTCCAAATCCAATCATAATGTTAAATATTCTACAATGAAAAGTCCAATTCAGAATAAGTCCAATTATAGGAGTGTGATTTATCTTCCAGTTGTCAACAGATGGCACTCTCCTCTCAGATTTAAATGCTGCCTTTTCCCCTCCCCAGGTATAAATTAATGCATTTATTTCAAAACAAAGTCAGTTATTTCAATAAGCCAAGTCCAGCATTTAAATTAATCAATAACCAGTTCCAACATTTAACATGCCTTTTCAAAATAACACCAATCCAATCCAAAATCCAGTTCTAAATGCTTACAAGAATAAATAGCTCTTATTCTTCCTTATGCCCGTCTTTTCCAGGGTTGTCTCAATAGTTCAAAGTGCCCATTAGCCACTAATGTAAGTCTTTTGAATGGTTTTTTTTTCCTTTCCTAGATTGTTTCTTTGGGGATAATTTTTAGGCAAACTCAAGCTTAATCTCACCTAGTCACACACTGCTCCTCTACCCGCTCCTGCGCTGTCTTTATTGCTTCAGCTGGCCCAGCCTTGTGGCAGCCATGATGGCTGCCACTGCTCCTCACCTTCTGGTTAAGAGAGTTTTCCCTGGATGGAACAGGAGAGTTGCTGCTCTCCTTAACCTCCTGGACATCCCTTTGTCCTTCGCCTCCAGTCCAGGCTGGCTTTGGCCCCTTTAGGACCCTTCTAACAGGGAGAGTTCAGCGTGGGATTGTGGAGCTGCGATCCCTGCTGCTGATGTCGCTGCGACCCAGAATCTTTCATCAAGTTGTAGTATTTAGATTTCATATTAATTTATTTAAATTTTTAGTTTATGTAGATTTTATTCTTTATGATCGAAAGCCGCCCAGAGTTACCTTGACTCTAGGCGGCTTCCTAAAATGGATTGCCTATATAAGTTTTATAAATAAATAATGAGTGAGATCATTTAAGAACCTCATTCGGGAGTTCCAGGATTGTGGTTAACGAGCATAACAGTCACATGACATCTCACTTAAAAACTGCTTCTCTCAACAACCGAGATTCCGGTCCTATTTGTGGTTGTAAGTGAAGGACTATGTTCTGTCCCCCGTCCTCACACAGACAAATGCAGTATCAAACACGCCTGCCAATAATTTATTGTATAAACAGACCAGAATTCCTAGCAGACGAGAGTTCTGGCAGCTAACTGTAAAACGCCTGGCCAGTCCAATTAGTACTCCCAAAAAGCAGGAGAGGCCTTATCTGCAGTCCGTTTCCAGAGTGACAAATTATCCACAAGAGTTTAGTCCAAAATATATCTGAGCCGAAGTGCAGGATTCATGATGTGACTCTTTAGAGTTTAAACTTTTATCCGAGCAATCACGCCCCCTTTTATCCCTTGTGGGGCATGGCTCAGTGACTCAGCTCAATCCCTGGCCCTCCCACGCCTCTTCCTTTGCTGCGCACACTTCTCCCTCCGACACTGCCTGGGATCAAGCCAGGATTCATCATTATCACTCTCTATCAATGGGTGCTCCGAAATGCCTTCTTCCTGGCCCATCCCAGGTTGTTCCTCCTGGCCTTCGGATGGAACCTGAGGCATTGCCAGATAGGAGGGTCCTGAAGAGGAAGGCCTTGTCAGTTCCTCCTCCTCACCTTCTGAGTCCTCTTCCTCCATGAGGACAGGCTCGGGAGTCGGAGTCACAACAGACTACCTGCACTGACTAACGGAGAGTAATAACTTTAAGGTTTAAGTAAATGGCTGTTCATTAGTTAATGAAAATTCTGTCACATTCTGAGAAGTTATGAAGTGTGAGATTTTTTTTTTTTTATGATGGAGTCATGATTGGACATTAAACTCTTGCTATAAGTTCAAGCAGTTGAAGCTGGCTTAGGGAAACTGCTGACTTTTCTTTTTCGTTAATGTATATTAGATGTTCACCTATATCACACTGTCTAAGTGATAGTATTTTGAAAACAATTTGATAAGTTGATATTAGGAGTGTGCACACTTTGAAAATGATTTTGAAAGAGTGCTTCTGACCTCATGCAAGCCCAGCACCTTCTCTGCTGAGCCTAGGAAGAGTCAGGCTGATTCAGGCACCAGGAGAGAGGCCTCATCTTCATGAAAAGCTGTCATCAAGATCATTTTTGAAGCACAGACAGACCTAATGAAAGGATTTGCTTTGATCTGATCTTCTCTTTCTGTTGAATTAGGTGATTGAATTCAGTGACTTAGATAAGCCAAAAGTTCAGTTTCTGCGACAGGTGTTGTCTGCGTTATTCCTAAAAATGGAACAAGAAGATCTCAACCATATATTTGAAAAGTAAGTCTTCTCAAGTATTCTAAGTAGGAGGTTCTTGGGCCATTTTTTATAATTAGAAATAGAAATAGCTTGTTTGTTTGTTAGTTTGCTTTTAAATTAATTAATAGTCCTGGCTGTGCCCTGCATCAAGTGTTTACACAGCATCTCAGTTCTTCTGCTGAGCCCAGATGGAAGCATTGAATAGCTTAACCAACCAAGCCGTAAAGAAGTGACACAGGTAGTCTTCGACTTACACTCTTCTGCTTAGCAATAGCACTTAGACTTATATACCGCTTTACAGTGCTTTATAGCCCTCTCTAAGCGGTTTACAGAGACAACCTATTGTCCCCTGACAATCTGGGTCTTCATTTTACCAACCTCAGAAGGATGGACGGCTGAGTCAACTTTGAGCTGATGAGAATCGAACTGCTGGCAGCCGGCAGTCAGCAGAAGTAGCCTGCAGTACTGCATTCTAACCACTGCGCTACAATGGCAACTATGCAAAGCTACACTGGCACTGAAAGAAAAGGCCTTATGACTGCTCTTCAGATTACAGCATCCCCACAAACACTTGATCAAAATTCAGGTTGGCTTGGCAACCAACATGTATATACAATGCTTGAAGCATCTCAGGGTTACATGATTGGCATTTGCAACCTTCCCAACAGGCTTTCAATTAACAAAGTCAAGGGGGGAGCCGGATTTGCTTAATGACTGATGATGATTCATTTAACAACTGCAATGATTCACTTAACAATTGTGGCAAAAGAAAAGTAAAATTGGGCACAACTAACTTAACAACCTTCTTACTTAGCAATGGAAATTCTGGTCCCAGTTGTCATAAATCAAGGACTACCTGTATAAATCTTGTTCATCTAATACAAGTAGTCTTCACCTTACGGCCACAATTGAGCCCAAAGTTTTGGTTCTTAAGTGAGACATTTGTTAAGTGAGTTGTGATCCATTTTACAACCTTTCTTGTTCCAATTATAAGTGAATTACTGCAGTTGTTAGTAACCTGGTTGTTAAGTGAATTTGGCTTCCCCATTGACTTTGCTTGTCAGAAGTTTGCAAAACTTCTGGGACACTGCCCTGTCATAAATATGAATCAGTTGCGAAGCATCTGAATTTTGATTATGTGACCATGGGGAAGCTACAACAGTCGTAAGTGTGAAAAACAGTTATAAGTCACTTTTTTCAATGCCATTGTAACTTTGAAGGGTCACTAAATGAACTGTTGTAAGTTGAGGACTAGCTGTATTGTTTTTTTATTATATATGACATGTACATTCCGTCTTTATTATTTTTACAAGTAACTCAAGGCAGCGAACATATCCAGCACACCTTCCTCCTCCTGTTTTCCTCACAACAACAACAACTCTGTGAGGTGGGTTGGGTTGAGAGAGAATGTCTGACCCAAAATCACCCGGCCTGGTTTCGTTGCTAAAGCAGGACTTGAATTCGCAGTCTAGCCCAGTACTTTAACCCCTACGATGTTGTATCATTGTCTAAAAGAAAATACAAATTGTTTAAAACATGGTTTTCCTATTTTCCAGGTTGTCTGACAATCCCAAGCTGGGGATGCTAAATGAAGGCTTGAAGCTTTTTCTTATGCATTTCTTGATGAAAAACATTCAAGCTCACTCAGATGTTAAAGAAGGTGCTTTGCTAAAAGAGAAAATTGATCTAGTAACTAAAAGGTTGAAAGCAAATGAATCAAAAGTGAAATTATAATATCAAAATCATATTACAGAGTTTCCCTTATGAAAAGTAGAGAAAGTAGTTGGGTAATGTGGTGCAATAGGATGTACAGATGACATTGTTCTATATAAATACGTCACCAAAATATGGAGGTAGTTACGGTTTTATATTCAGATTTATATGGATATATTGAGAAATATATGCACATATAAATGTTTTTAAATAATCAGGGATTTTATTAAAAGACAAGACAAAATTACCAATGAACATTGAGAGATTTTGGGCAAAAAATGAAATTTTATTTCAAATGCACCTTGATATTTTCTTACTGAATCTCTTAAAGCTACATGTGAAGCATTGAGTGGGATTTATAGATAACAGTAAGCATGGCCAAGTTAATTTTATATTTCTCATCCCATTTTATTCTTTGTGTAAATTATTATCTTGCTTTTAATCTTGTTTGTACTGCAGAAAATTAAATTCCCTACTGTTTTTCTAAATTACTATTCTGTGTAATTTAAAGATGTACTTTCTACATACGGTAAATGAGAATATAATACTTTAATAACAATAATACATAATTTTATATTACTGATTCATCTTATTACTATAACTTATTTGTACTAGTAATTCTCCCCTCCTCAGTTCACGTCACTCTTCATCACAGTCTTTTTTACAATTCTTTTCCTTCCCTCATTTTTTGATGCAAATGTCAACTTTTTAGCAAAAATATTTAATTGCTTCTGGTGTTTCATTTATTTGCTAATTCTCCTAAACCAAAATAGCAAAGAAAATTTTCTTTGGAAGTAATGTAGAAAGATAATGACTTCCCACCTCATCAATATCTAAATTTAGCCTGTGTCATTTAATCAAAGAGATCAATATCAAAAATAGCATGTGAATTGTTAAGAATGGTGGCAAATGCTACACAAGTTTTGTTCTTTTATTCACATCAAATCAGTGTTAGTCTTTCAGATTATACCAGTCTAAAAAACCAGTCATATAGATCAATACCAATTTTTTTTTTTACAAGATTATAGCAGTGCTTCTAAATCTTGGCAATTTGAAGATGAGTGGCCTTCAAGTCCCGTTGCCTGGAGGCCATGCGGATCTGGATGGGGAGGAACAAGCTCAGACTCAACCCCTCCAAGACCCGAGTGGCTGTGGCTTCCGGCGTCCTAGTATAGTCAGCTGGTACCGCCACTGACAATTGGGGATGAGATCTTGCTCCCCACAGAGAGGGCCCGCAACTTGGGTGTCCTCCTGGATTCATGGCTATCTTTAGAAGATCATTTGACAGCCGTGGCCAGGGGTGCCTTTTATCAGGTTCGCCTGATCCGCCAGTTGCGTCCCTATCTGGATCGGGACGCCTTGTGCACGGTCACTCATGCCCTAGTCACCTCCCGTATGGACTACTGTAATGCTCTCTACATGGGGCTCCCCTTGAAAAGCAGCCAGAGGCTCCAACTGGTCCAGAATGTAGCCGCGCGGGTGATTATGGGTGCAGCTCGTTGCGCCCATGTAACACCTCTCCTACGCGAGCTGCACAGGCTCCCGGTAGTCTTCCGGGTGCGATTCAAGGTGTTAGTTATCACCTTTAAAGCGCTCCATGGCTTAGGACCTGGGTACCTACGAGACCGTCTTTTGCCACCAGTAGCCTCCCACCGACCAGTTCGTTCTCACAGTGAGGGACTACTCAGAGTACTGTCAGTCAAATTATGCCGACTGGCGACTCCCAGGGGGAGGGCCTTCTCTGTGAGGGCTCCAACCCTTTGGAATGAACTGCCCCCTGAGATACGGAATATCCCTGATCTCCGAGCTTTCCGCCATGCCCTCAAAACCCTGATGTTCCAACAGGCGGGGCTAAACATATGAACATGTGAATGGTTTTAAAATGTTATCTAATTTTAGGTTCTATTTAATTGGGCCAAACTATGTTATAATAATAATTTTAATTAGCAATTTTATGATGTTTGTGTATCTATATTTTTCTTGACTATACACCACCTTGAGTCCTACGGGAGAAAGGCGGTATAGAAATATAATAAATAAATAAATACACTCCCAAAATTCTCTAGCCAGCTAGCTATTAACACGGTTTGTTAACGGTAATATTAACATGGTTTGTTAACCACTTGTAATGGAATACAGCTGGAGTTTTCAGACTTTTTTCAGGCTGTAGAACCTGTATAGATCTTTTAATATCCCTAGTGAAGAACATGATTGCTAATTTAGCTGATTTCAGAGGAGTACACACCTTCCAAGAAGATAAGTCCACTGATAGCTGTTAGCTTCATATTCCTTGAACCAGCAGCAATAGGAAGGGAGTGAAACTTTGGCGTCCTTTTTGTGGGCTTCCCTTATTCAATTGGTGTGTGAGATGGATGGACCTTGTGTTCTCTTACAGGTCATTTCTGTAATGCTGCCAAAAATACTGTGTGGCTGCAAGGATCAGATGTTGATCTCAAGTAGCTCAATAATTTGAAATAGATCTTGGAATTCTTGAAGATTTGTCTGATAAAACTCAGATTCCCCAAAGTCTGTGTAACCAGAAAGCTTACACACACACACACACACACACACACACACACACACACACACACACAATAAAGAAAAGAAAACACCGGGAGCCACAAAACCCTTCCCATGTCTGACTATTTCTTAAGTGGCCATAAAACTAGCATATGTAGTTGAATTAAAAGTTCTGTTTTCTTCTGAAACTTTTCTTGGATTTATCCATGGTTGGCCTACCAGGGGTTGAAAAGCTCAATAAATTGCATGTCAGTAGGTATTGCACATTGGTGGTTGTGACGCATATTTGGAGTGACGGAGCCGCAGCAGAGGGGTGAAAGAGCCACATGCGGCTCCAGAGCTGCAGGTTGCTGACCCCTGGTAAAGGTAAAGGTTCCCCTCGCACATATGTGCTAGTCGTTCTCGATTCAAGGGGGCAGTGCTCATCTCCATTTCAAAGCCGAAGAGCCAGCGCTGTCCAAAGACGTCTCCGTGTGGCCGCCATGACTCAACACCAAAGGCGCACAGAACTCAGTTACCTTCCCACCAAAGGTGGTCCCTGTTTTACTACTTGCATTTTCGTGCTTTCGAACTGCTAGGTTGGCAGAAGCTGGGACAAGTAACGCGGCACTAGGGATTCGAACCGCTGAACTGCCGACCTTTCGATCGACGAGCTCAGCATCTTAGCCACTGAGTCACCACATCCCATTTACACGCACAATAGGAATAGAAATAAAATAAGGCAATTTTTTAGACTCAGACTATCTTCTGGATGTATCTGAGCCTATATTTCCTAAATTGCCCATCACTGAGGAATTAGAGCTCCAAGTTATCTGACGACAGTAGGTTGGACACAGCGTTATTTAATGGCTCTTTCAACTCCACTTGGCCCCAGAGACAACACCTCTGACCCCTGGGAGAGAGAGGGAGATTCTGCCTGGCAGGCCTTGTTTGCAGGGTTAGCTGGCAGAAAGCTGCCTTTAGGGCCCAGCTGTGGCTGTATCAAGATAAGGACCTTTATTCCCCTCCAGCTGAGTAAACCAAAATAAATGGTGCTTCTGTGGTAAATCAAAGCCCTCTGTTTATGGATGGGTAGTCCCCTCCTGAACACCCAGATCCAAGGGAAGGAGAGCCCTCCCTGGCCCCCCTTTGTCTGGTTGCACCATAAGCAAAGGCAGTTTCAGGTTAAGTGTCCCTTAAGCAAATGTGAAAGGGAAATGAATAGGCCCAGGTGGGAAGGTATATATCATGCATTAACCCTTGAGTAAACTGAGGATGTAAATGATGTTTCTCTGCAGTTTATTGCAAATCAAAGAACTGAAGTAGAGGTGAGCCTGTCATTCAGCGTGCACACGTGCACACATACAGTACACACACATACAACTTGTTGCTGAACTACAAGTCTCAGCATTTCTCATTATTATCTGCTAGGATAATAGGAATTTCTAAAAGTTCTAGAAGCCATAAATTTCCTCATCTTGGATATTAAGGCAGCGATGGGAAAGCATCTGGTCACTACCAAGTATAGGAATAGAAAAGGGAGGTTTTCTTTTCACAACAGGCTACTTTCACATATCAAGATCAATAAATGAGAAAGCACGAATTGAGACTCTTGGTTGCTATTTTTCAAAAAGCAGATATGGTGATTTCCTTCTCATCACATTAAAGTGCAAACTTTTCTGAGGCAAAAGTGGAATAACAGAACAAACCATACCGATCAACTATGCTTTCTTACTTAAAATATCTTGCAACTGTTTAGTATAGTTTGCAAAATCAAACTTCAGCAAATCAGCATGCATGTACACCACCATTTTATTCCCTACTAAAAGTTGCAGTTAAGCTGTTATTGTCTAAAATTCAATTGCTGCCATTTTTAATTTTTAGCAACTCGTGGTAAGGGGTAAAATGACAGGAAATGAAATGTCTCACAACAGATTAATATTCACACATTAAATGTGAATCAGCCTTTCCTATATTTGCTTGGCATGCTGTGTGAAAACATTACGGGTCACTATGCAAATTCAAAAAACTGGGTTAGGTAAGCCACTTTTAAGTAAGGGAAAATGGGTTGTGTAAATAGCAGATTTTCTGAGTTTTTTTGCAAATCTGGCCAAATGCATCTTACTAAACACAGATAAACTATGGTTTAGGATGACACATAAATCCACCCATCAACTTGCCAATCCAGATTCCATTGGCCATCATGAGTAAATCAAATTTCTCAGGATCCCCTCTGCCACTGAATTGTAAGATTTGGTAATGAAAATAATGTTTCCTGGCTTCTTTGTAACTGCACATCCCCTGGAAAAGGACTGATTTTCTTCTATCAACACAACCTCTAAATGACCCCTTTTCTCCCCACATAGTTCACACACCCACAAGCCAAATAAATCTCTCTTTACACTTTTCTCAAGCAGGTTCACCGTGGGGCAGGCTGGGGGTTGTTGGTTTAGTTCCTTCATTCTGGAAACACCTGGTAAGGTGTGGAAAGATTTAGAAAGCGAAAGTGTTAAACGAGGCTGCTTGGTAGGAATTTTTCCATTTTTTTTTTTTATAATTAGGTGCTCTGTTATGGAAAATAAATTTTAGTCTGTCCATTAAAATAAGGGTCAGAAAATGATATTTGGGTTGCCCTAGGACTCTGGAATGCTAAAAGCATTCTTCAGACATTTTGAGGAGTTTTCAAGTAATCAAAGGTCAAGAATCCAGCAACACCTCTTTTAATTAACACATTTTATTAAATGAAAGTGTTCATGAGCTGCAGTTCATGAGATACATGGAGTGGCTAAATGGATGTGGGATTTTTACATTGGGAAGATGTGTGTGGGGGAGAATGGAAGACAGACTAGTTATGCATATGCAAGAGTGTTTTTTTTTTAAGTAGTTAGGGATAAGTTATGTTTAATTTCTTGTCACAACAGAGGCTGCTTGCACATTTCTTTTTAAGCCCTCTTAATGAGTATACACAATCCACCATTTTTGGTTTAATAGTATTTGCAAGTCAAGAAAGGTGCTATAGGACACCTGATTAGGAGCTATCAAGGAGTAACCTGCTGTTCCTTCTACAAGTTTGCAAGAGATCACAGGCAATTAAAAAAATACAATTTACCCATGAAAATTTGCAGGCCACGTTTTTCTTTACAGCAATAAATAATAATTCCCTACATTAAAGAGCATTGTGCCTTAACTAAATCAACATTCTTGTTTGTGGGGAGGGTTGTATTTTAACATTTTATTTGTGTATCTGCTATGCACATTTTCCAGTTTGTATTCCTAAGGTTCTCTATTAAAATGAATAATTTGCAAATCAGCGCAAGAGCTGAATGTTATCCAATGTTACCTGGGATGAGCTGGGTTATCAAACCATGTAGTAAGGCTGTATCACTATTATCCTTTTCATCTTTCCTATTACCTGTTCCTTTAGCATCCTATGACTTTGTTGTTTGTATCTTATGATTTAGGTTGATTGCTTTTATTTAGCATCCTATGGCTATCACTGAGCGTTGTATGTAATGATTCATGATGATTCTATTTTATGAATATGATCATGATTTTTCACTTGTTGCTTGTATGTACACTGAGAGTTTATGCACCGGGGACAAAATCCAATCCCACTTGCCCAATAACAAATTGCATTCTATTCTATTTTATTCTATTTATATTCATCCCCTTTTTGGGCCATCTAAATACTTAGAGCCTGATGGTTTGTAATAATCATTTCATAGACAAAATGGGACAGATACTTCTCTGTTGTAGCTTTCCTCCTAGCTCGTTTCATTAATACTATTTGAGTATTCTTTCTGGATAATCTAATCAATTATATGTTAAATTGTCTTCCTTGTAATCCAACTGTTCTAGCAGTGGCAAGTTTTTAACTGGTGTCATTAGGACAAGGAAGCAAATTCGATTAAATTTATCTAAGAGTATTGAAGGTTATGATGAAAGAATCTGATATAAATGAGGATATTTTGAAATAATTCTGTTCAGTGATGGGATCCTGCCGGTTTAACAACCAGTTCGGTGATAACACACATTGCACGCGCACGCACATGAGGCACGCTGCGCACGCATGTACAGTTTTATGAAGACTTACCTTCCACGTTACTGGGGGAATCATACAGCTGAGGCACAGCAATCCGCTCTGCCGCATGAATCAGCTGAGAAGATATAGGTCAGTAAATCGCAGGGTGGGGCGGGCTCTACCTGATCGTCAGAGTGAACTGGTATACTCCCAGCTGATCATTGGAGCTACCGGTTCACTCAAACCGGTCTGAACCAGTAGAATCCCACCCCTGATTCTGTTGCTTCGTAATGGTCTTGTAAACAAACTATTGACTGAGAGCACAACCTGATAGAAGGCAAGGCCCTCTGAGTTCAATTGACTTAAATATTACCCACCTCTTTGCAAATGTAGAGATTTTTTTTTACTAACTTTGTAAAGTAAGAGAAAGGGAAACTTTTCCTTTACATCTAGCTCTGTTTCCCCAGGTCAACCCCAAATCCATATTTATGCTGCTTTATTTTATTCTACTTATGTATTTATTTATTAAATTTATATTCTGCCCATCTTACCGATAAGGTGACCATGGATGGCTTATAGATATTATTAAAAAAAAGAGAGAGGCATAAAACATTAAATAGATAAGTACGAGGACAATTCAAATTAAGAAGAGATACATAAGAAACTAAAACAAGGAGATAGATGCCACAGGGATGAGATTTTCTTCTTAACCCATCAACCACCCTTTGAGAGAGGATGCTTCCCTGGGGTCTTAAGACAACATAAGACAACCTGGGCTTTAATGCCCTTCTGGAAAGCCAAAAATTTACAACAGTTTTCATCCCCAGTGGTAGAATGTTCCATAGGATGGGCATCACAATGAAAGAGGCTCTTCTTGACCCTGCCAGATGGAATTCCATAGCTGATGGGATCCACTGCAGACCCTTTCCAGTGGAGCAAGTAGGGCAGACTGGTCCTGTTGAGTTATTTTGGTTTAGGTTATTTAATCTGTCTTGATTGAAGCATAAGCCCCACTAAAAAGCACTTTCTTCTGAATCAGGCAGCGGCTCTCAAGAGACGGTTCCTTTTCTTTTGAAATATTTTTCCAGAATTCCCACCCATTTCAGTTAACCTGTCAGCAAGTCTTGCTCTCTCATTTCCAGCAGACAGATTTTCAGAGCCCTGGCCCTTAATTTCCCCCACTTGGCCACTAACAGCTCAGTTGCTTCCTTCACGTCAAGGGCGTGGACTGAGGAAGAGAGGAACACACACAAAAAAGTCAAAATGGAACTTCTAGCTATGTCTATGGAGATTCTTAGTCATCCAGGTCACAGTTGTCCCAAAGGTGCTTTTTCAAAAGGCAACGGGACTTTCTGATTGTTCCTTGAAGGTGTTTCGTTTCTCCTCCAACAAGCTTCTTCAGTTCTGAAGAGGCTTCTTGGATGAGGAGTGAAATGCTTTCAAGGAAAAACCAGAAAGTTCCGTTGCCTCTTGAAAAAGCACCTTTGGGACTACTAGTTATAATCTGGAGAACTCTTGAGTTACCAGAATATTCTTTTGGAATGGGCAATCAAAAAAACTGTAATAAAATAAATGAACTGCATGTCTTCTTGAAGTTGCCCACCATGCTTTTCTCCTTCAAGAATTTGTTTCTGGCCATTTCTCTGACCTACATTTTTGTAGGAAGAAAAGTCTTTCCAATTTGATTCAACTCCAAATGTATCTTATTGTGAAATCAATGGAAGGTGATTGGGGTGTTCATACTACATCTTACGGGGCAAGTAGACACAATATTTTTCTCAATATAGTTTCTCTCTCCTCTCCAATAGTGAAACAAGAAATATTATCCTCCAAATTCTTCCCTTTTATGGAGTTATGGAAAGGAGTTGGCCAACTCAATGATCTACCTTGCTGGAAAAGGCACAAACCCAGTTGTTTTGAATTAGTAAACTTTCACAGGTTAGGTATAAAACTGTTTATTTTAAATGTAGTTAAGACAGTGGGAGATTAATAATTTAGCATGCGTAAGAGGAGGGTTTTTTTTTTTAAATATAAATACAGTATATAAAAATAAAGATAATAAAGCCCTCCTAAGATTCTCTGGTGGTTCCAACCATCATTGTGTAACATTCTTAGTTTGTTTATTGTAGAATAAACAACAACATTCTCATAGCAGTTAAAGAACACCAAACCTCAGAAGGGAAAATAAGTTTCAAGTGCCATTTTCTGACCTTGTGATTCAGTCTTTGAATAATGCTTTATGTCACCATTATTGATAGAATGAAAGTGGAATAGTATAGCAGTGGCATTTGCAATGACTAGGCCTTTAATTCTTTATGACCATTGGCTGTGGCTGATAAGCTGAAAGGTTAGTGAGAAGTCTGAAGGTTATATCAGGGTATACATAACGGAACTGGCACCTTAATCCTCCCACCAAACATTGAAAAATGATGTAGCTTTGGTGTCCATTGATAGACACCAAAAGGATGTTGAAGGGCTACACAATTGATGCCCAAAGTGACAGGTAAGTTGTATCAAAGGAACTCTCTGCATTCATCCTAACGCTCACCCGTATAATAATCTTTAATGTGAGAGAAGTTAATTCTTCTGGGACAGATTATTGGCCAGAATTTTGGAAAGGTTATTAGGCCATAGCTGCTTGGGAATCAGTGCACAACTGAAAAACTACTGCCAAGTTTGGAGTGCCCTACCTGGGCTTGTGCTCTCCAAATGCACTGGACATTTGGAGAGCACCAGCTAGACTAGAAATTTGGGAAGTTGAAATCCAAGGCACCTAGAGGAGCAGCACTAGAAAAGTTGCCTTGGCAGCAAGGACCAGAGCATCAGAAGGTCTGGTCCTTCCTGGAATCCCAGGTAGGAAGGGGGCAGCCAGTGTGGCAAGCCCCCAATGTTTAAGGAGTCTGAGCCTGGGGCAGCTGTGGGTTGGCTCCCACATGTCTGTTCTGGGGCTGCCTCCCATCATCATCATCCTTATCAGAACAGTCAGGGGAGGTGTAGGGACAGCAATGTCTAGAAATTTGCTCCCCCTCCTCCTCCTCCCCCTCTTCTTCTTCTGGCTCACTATCTCTGAGTCCCCGCAGGCGGCGACCCACGTTGCTCTTTTCAGCCACGCCTGGCAGCACCTGCCCCTCCTCTGCCCCCTTGTCTTGCTCAGCATTTCCACCCTTCTGTTTCTCAGCTTCTTGGACTGCTTGTTCCTTGGCCTTCTTGCTCCGTTTCCACTTCATGCGTCGGTTCTGAAACCAGATCTTCACCTACAGGAGGGAGGGGAAACAAACTGGGCTCATACATGATTAAGGACATGGTTTCTTCTACCATGGCTGAGTGAGTAAACTATAGAGGCTCGGATCTAATAATCTGGTTTGGTTTAGGCTGGCATCACATGGGTTCCACCAGGAGTGGAATGATAGTTTGCCCGTTGATATTTTATTTCATTATTTATTTGTTAAATTTATTTGCATTCTACCTCGCTACGGGGCTACTCTGGTTCATGTGCAATTCTTGCATTCAGAGTGAGGATACATCAAAGCAGCATTTACCTTACGACTTTACCACACTTGTATCATCAGTTTGACTTTGGTGCAGCTGTTCTGTGTGCTGGATGAACCAGTTTTAGATTTGCAATCAGAATTTGACCAAGGAAAGCATTTTAAAAGGAAAGAATCAAACCAAGGATAATTGGATGCCAAGCTTTAGATGGGATTGTCTCTGGGCTCATGCCTTGCTCTAAACCATGGTTGTTTTCATTTGGGTTTCTAGAACAAGGTGTTGTTACTTGATTTAAACTAACTAATAACTGTGAAATCCTTGGTGTTCTTTAAGCCGGTTGATTGACAATGATATTACCTAGTTAGGTAATGAAATATCTCCAAACAACCAACCAAGCTCAGAAAACAGCAAGAATTCCGCAATTCAATCCTGAGCTATAGATCTTCTCTTCAGTTGGAACAAGCTACAAACATGATTTAGAAAGGACAATGCCTCAGTTCACACATTCTGCTAGGTTGTAGGATGCTTTACTGAAATTTGTGAGCCCAGTTTTGCTAATGCTAAAACCAATTACTGAAGTCACTGCAAGTTGGGATGTTGGCTGTAGCTGATAGAATTTTCTATTTCTATTTTTCAGTTTCCTGCTCTAAATTTTGTAAATCATATGACAGGACAATCAGACCTCTCCCATAAGGTAGATATGAAGTTCCTCCTGAGTGTGTATGTGTGTGTATTCTCTCAAACTGGTTAAATTTAAGCAATTTATTCTCCATAACTTAATCCAAATACTTTGCCCTTTCTTCCTTCTGTTTAGATTCCACTTACCCCCAAGAATTGAAATGTAACACCTATGCTCCCCTTTCCATTTTTAAAATGCACACAGCAGTCCAGATGTGCTTCCTGTCTATTTTCCTTCCACTCCATTTTGTCTCCCCTTAGTCATGTTTTGTTTGCTTACCTTGTTTAGAATGGGTTTTATGGTGGGAGCCAGAAAGTGGTAAATTGTGTGTGAACATTTAAAGAAATCAGCTGTGGAAAGATTGCCCAGCAAGAAAGCTAAAATCAGGCACATTTAATTAATCAGAGATTGGCAGTTATGTTTACATACTGTCTGAATATCTCAGAACCAGAAAGGACATTTCAGCTTCTGGGAAGTTTGCAAAGGAGAAGGAAACGACGGAACTAGACAAGTGAAAGGGTCTTATGTTCTTTAAAAATAAACACCAAAACAGTGTGGCGAGAAAAGCTTGTGATGTGGTGTGGAACAAAGTAGATTGTTCTGATGAACTTGGAAAGAAAAGTTTGGGTTCAGGTCCTTGGTTTCTTCCATGATGCCAGTTGGATAACCTTCTCATAAACATACCACTCCATGGGATGTTTATGCTGTAGCCTGTTTCTGCTTATGCTGAGTAGCATGAGAGTTGTTGCTTAAAGCTGCCTCCCTTATTGCTACCTTCTAGTTTGAAGTTAGCCATCAAAGCTTGCAAGATTCTGGAAGCTGCCTTGAACAAGGCAAAGTAATGAAGTTTTAAATCGATTAATTTTATGTCACTCTTCTGATTCATCCTGTGCTTTATTTATTTATTTATTTTTTTGCTAAACACACAAAACTTATGTAAAGAGACATCTCTGTGATCTCAGGCCATTGTGTCTGTTTAAGCACCCTTCTTCGTAGCTTCGCCCAATTTCAATATTAATATAATTATTTTCTCCACTTTTTACTTTGACTATTGAAACCAATGGCTCAGCCACCAAGAATCTCTGCAGGAGATTCCAATGCCTTTTGGAGTTTTCTTTTAAAGAAATTGTTTGATTAGGTTATGAATGAAAAACATGATTTCCTTTCTCATTTCCAAGGCTGAAGCAGGTTGGGAAGTACTCACGTAGACACCACCGTCCCTCACAAAGCCTTAAGGACGGATTCTTCTAAAAGCTCAGCACCCTACAACGCGAAGGATGCCGAGTTACCTGGGCGGTGGCGCCCCTTCCCAACCCTCCTCCGACGCATCCACACTCACCTGCGTCTCGGTGAGCATGAGCGAGGTAGCCACCTCGAAGCGCTTCGGGCGGGACAGGTACTTGTTGAGCTTGAACTGGTGCTCCAACTCCAGCAGCTGCTGGCTGGTGAACGCAGTGCGGGGCCGCCGGCATTTGCCCAAAAGGTTGGACTGAGCTTGGGCTGCGGGAGAGAGTCAGAAACGGAAAGGGGGCGTAAGTCACGGCAGGCTTTGAGGCGCTGCGCCGTTAGAGGGCGCTGCATTCTCGCTTCTGCTGCGGCAGCGGAAGCGAAATAAGAGAGGAGCTGAGTTGGTTGGGGGGAAAAAAACCAGCTGGGCGAAAATCTATTCTGGGCAACGAGGAGTTCTTTAAGGTTTCCCCAGTCCTAAACAAACTTAAGAGGACATATTTTCCTTGCTCTGACCGTCGTATTTTGATTGTCGGGGCAGCGGCTTCGCCTTTGAGGTCGCGCAAAACTCGGGGCACTGAAGTCGTTGCTAGTTCAGCCAAGACCAGGAGAGCTGTGAGAACCTAGCGAGGCTTCGGATTCACACGGTGGGCTGCCTTGCCTGCCTATCCCAACGCTGTGCATCCTTAACGACTTCCTCCTCTCCCTACCCCGGCTGGTAAGAGTTCCGCCATCCATCCATTGGCATCGAATTCGTGTCCAGTTTAAAAAAAAACAAAAACTGGAGAATGTAGGGGAGAAAACAGGCTTACTCAATCCGGTGAACTTTTCCTACTTGAAAAAGGACTCTCCCCCACAGACAATTGAGATCTCCGCTTGTCTCCAAGTCAACCTTTCGCCAAGGAGCGCCAGGGGCTGGGACCGTCCAGTGAGGCCTCACTAGCAAAGCCTCAGCCCCACACGCTCCGCGGAGAACGGCCTCCGGCTGAAGGTGCGCGGGGCTGCCTTGCGCTTCAAGCCGAGGAGGCGAAGGCGGGCTGGGTTAGAAGGAGAACTGGCGAAAATCTGGACCACCGCCAGAAGGAAAGGAAGGGAGGGCTTTCGCCTCTCTTGGCTCTGCCTGGAGCCCTGCAGACTTGATGTAGTGGTCGCCCAAGAGAGATTATTACTGCAAATCCTATGGATGCCTAAAGGGATTTAGGATGGATCAAAAATTCCAACGGTTTCCTTCTCGCCTTAGATTCGAAAGAAGGAAATTGGACTTCTTTTTTCTAATTGGGATTTCGGAGATGCGGGTCGAAGTTGGAAGCAGTAGAAGAGGAATCTGATCCCTTTCATTGCCAGGGCGCCCAAAAATATAAAATAAAATTGGTCCCCCTGAATCACGATGTAATTCAAAAGCAACTCCGAGTTCCTTGCCAGCTTTCCGAACTCCTTTCCCTTCGGACAAAAAAGAGGGAGGGGGGGGAGAAAGGCTGAGTGCCGTCCCCAGGAGGGGAAGCAACCAACAAAATATAAGTGCCACCTCCACACTCAAGAAGCTAAATCAAACCAACGAACTTCCCAAATCCGCCTCTTTAGGCAGTTCTCTCCGCGTGCAGCACCATCTCGGCAACTGCCCCGCCCGGAACCCCCTTCCAATCTCGCTACCGCCCTGGCCGTCTCTTTGGAGAGAGACTTAAGGCTGCAGGAGATGCACCCGCCTCTCCCAAGCTTCGTTCCTTCTCGGCTTCCTCGCGAGCAGGAAATGTGACTCTCTTCTCAGAGGCCGGGCTGAAGGTGTGTTCCTCGGCGAGCATCTCTGTCATCCGAGGCAAAGGGGCCCAGCGAGCTGGCGGGAAAATCGGAGCTAGTTTTCAATTAATTCCTTGGGCTGGGGGCGGGGAGAACTCCGTTTGGGGAAAGACCCGAGCCAAGCCTGCCAAAGAAAATCTCAGCTAGCAGAAGGCAAGGAACGGTGGGGCAGATTCCGCTCGCTGCTCCCTGCTTTTTCAGGGGAACAGAGAATTAATTCAACTACGCTCAAGCGACCCTCGCCGCCTTCGGCGTCCTTTATTGTAAAGACCCCGAAAGGGGCTTTGAAATAAAAATGCCGCTGAGTTGCCTTAACCCACCGGAGAGTCATTGGCATAATTGTGATGAGGGTCGACAAACCTAAAAAAATTATTGAAAATGAACGTTTCGCCCATGGGAACGACTGCTAAGAGTCGAATCTCAGATTCGAATCTTAAAGTGGGATCCAAGGGAGAGTATTCTTGCCCGATTTAAGGCCCACTGATTTCGTTCAAAATAGATTTCAGCAATCGCTGAATTCAGGGTGAAACGAATTGGTCCCTTATTAACATCCTTGCCTCCTGCTAGCCGGTTGAAGAGACGGGCTTTTAAAAGAATAAAAGTGGGGGAAAAAAACTCCTAAATCTAGATTTACTTAGAAGAAACATTTTTACGTTTATGATATTTTAAACATTATCTTGAACTCTTCCAAGATTTCTACGGAACTCTGAGCCAGGCGGGGAGGAAATCTGTCACCTCCTTTGATGCTCCCCCCACCCCCACCCCGTCTCCCAAAAGGTCCCATTTATAAAGATAGGGACAATCTGGGGGAATTAGTCTTACCTCCTGGGAATTTTTCAGTCCAATTAAAATATGTCAGGAGGGAAGCTCCTCGAGAAATCTGTATTTACTAATATTTTAAAGAGATATCAAGAAAAGCAAATGAGGCCTCACTCCGACCTAGCTCTATATACAGAGAAAAATTAATTGTGAAATTAATACGTGTTATCTTAGATATATTATTAGGAAAAAAAATCTGTAATTGACTGATTTAAACCTCGGCTTTCAACGTTTACTACAGAAATCCGCGTTTCCGAATCCAGCCCAATTGCAGCGCTCCGATGTATCTCCGGTTCCACGGACGGCTCACCGAAGAAAAATCGATTGACCACCAGAGTAGTAGTGGTTGTAAATGTCGAATAGGTACCAATCATCCCGGAAGTGCCTAGTTAAAAGATCAAAACCCCCGATGCTCACTAAATCTTCTCTCCCCCTACTTTGCTTCCTGGGGGGTGGGGGGGATGGGAGAAGAAAGGGGTGTAGCAAATAATAATATCTGGCAAATAATAATTAAACAATTTAAATAATAAAAATAACAAAGCAAATAATAATATATAAAGGCTCGCCTCTTCGGTCATTACTGTACAAGGAGCTTTGGGGGGGGGGCAAATTTGCCTTTCGGGTTCACCGAGTTCACCGCCGAGCTCTGACCGGCACTTCCACTACAACCCCCACCATTCCCAGCCGCCCCAATCCGTGCCCCTCCCCAGGCTGGGGACTACATCTCCCATCACGCCAGTGAAAGTGGCAGCCCAGCCCACGTGGAAGGCAAACAATTGAAGGTAGTTCTGGGGATGGGGCGGAGCGAAGGGTGATTATAGCACCCCGTGCGAAGGAGCCGGTAGAGAGCTCTGGCGAATGCAGTGGGGGGGGGGCGTGGGGGAGGGGGACGGTCGGACAGGAGAGAGGCAAGCTCAGGCAGGGCATAGCGATTTTAGACCGCAGCTCCAGGCTGCTCAGCAGAGGAACTGATGTACGCGCGAAAGACAAAAATGCCCCTCCCGCCTACACACCCAACAAGCGCCCGGCATCCAGCATTGCCAGCAAGGTTTAGCGCGCTCAAGGACCTGCCTTGGCAAGAAGCGCGGCTCTTGGGCTCTTTTTTCCCCAGATTCCGGGATATACCACCCAGGCCAGGAGGCTCCATCCTGCAGCCTTTCCGAGCTCGGGATCCCAAATCCGTTGGGAAGACTACAGTTCCCAGCAGTCTCACTGACCCCCCCACCCCACCCACCGCGCCCCCGGGGAAGCCCGCCAAGCCACCCAGCGCTGGCTAGAGAGACTGGAGGTTCCCCAGATCCCTCACGCCATACTCACAGTTAAAGTCGGGCATTTTGGGCAAGATCATCCCGGCGGTGGAGGCCCGCAGCCACTGGTCCAGCTGGAAGGTGCCGGCGCCGAGCTTGAGAGAGTCGGCAGCCGGGTGCGAAGCCTGCACCTGGGAGTAGGAATAGGAGAGGGCTGTGTGCTGAGACGCCAGCGCGGCCGCCGCCGCCGGGTACCCGTACATGGGGTGCCCATAAAGGGCCGCCTGGGGGTGCAGCCCCGCGCCGCCTTGAAGCCCCAGAGCGGCGTGGGGGTGGGGGTGGGCGTGCGGGTGCTGGTGCTGGTGGGGACCACCCGCGGCCGCGCCACCCGTCAGGAAGCCGGGCTTGGCCACCAAGCCGCAGTGCCCGCTGAGGATACAGGGCGGCGATGGGCTCTCGGTGCGCAGGCATTCGGATGATGAGCTCGTGTGACCCTCGGCCGAGGAGGGCGGGCTGCAGCTGGAACTGGAGCTGCTGCTGGTGTTGCCGGGCCCTCCGGACAGAGAGGTGACCAAGGCCAGCGGAGAGGTCTGAGCCGTCGAGGCTACCGCCGGCTTCGGAGAATCCACCGCCAGCAGCGCGTCGATACGGAAATTCTTGGACTTCTCCATAGGCTCCAGATTCACGACGGGCGCTTCTCCGGCTCACAAGACGCAGGTGATCCCCACGCACGTCTCGAACAGCCCGGAGGGTGAAGATCCGACGGTCGCTCCCGCAGCCCTCCGGCGCTCCTTCTACAAACGGGGTGGCAGCTCCGCGTTCCGCAGTCGAAGAAATCCTCGGGCTGGCCGGGATGCAGGACAGCCGCTCTCGATCGCCGCACGAGTCACTGAGACACCTCCGCTACGGATTCAGAAGCCTTGAAGATTCAGACGGGATCCCATTGGTCTACCGGGGAAGGGCGGACCCGATTGGTGGCCGGAGCTGGGCTCTAGAGCAGCCCATTGGCCGCGGCTCACACCTGTCATCGCTGGCACCTTCTGGCCCTGCCCAAGGGAAATGGCTTCCTTCTCCCTTCCAAAGCCTGGGGGCTACTTACTTTGGGGTGAAAGGGATTTGAGATTTTGTTTGACGGCAGGTTGGTAAGAAACGGTCTAAATAAAGGCTTCTATATTTAGGTAGCGCCCAAACACTTGTGCGTGAACAGAGAAAGTTCAGCCCAACTGTTATCTCTATCCCAATATAATAAAAGACTGTAAATTGTCAAGAGGGATCAGGGATAAACTGCTGAGCCTTTTCTACATGTTTGCAATGGTGACAGCATCTCGGATCACTAAAATTAACATTTCCAGTTGAGAACCTGATGAGAATGCACGAAGACTGGTTTTCTGGAGGCTGCCCGCGCGCTCAGTTCAAAATTGCCCTCTTTCCGCTCCAAAACCTTCTTTGCACCACACGAGGCAAGGTGATCGTAACATCCCGAGAGTACTTTAGGATTCAACGAAGCGAATTGGGCAAGGATCGGGGAAATGTTTGCCTGGGACATTTTGCAAATACAGCTCTCCTCCGTATTTCCTCCAGAGGCGAGGGTATGGGGGTGGGGGGGTGGGGGTTAACAAGAGGAAAGGGAGAATTTGTATTATGAACATATAAATGCTGGGCGATGTGTTTGAGTTCCCCACCCCTCTCTTGCTGTTTTCTCCCCCCCTCCCCCAGCTCCAACAAATGAGCGAGGCAGAGGGGTCCTTTGGGCTAAAGCTGATGGTCGTGCTATCTGGCAAGTGGCCGGGACTTCGGCATACCCCGCCCCGCGAGCTGCAGTTTGGACGGAGGTAGGGGGGCGCGGAAGTTTTTTTTGTTTTGTTTTTAATTTGATTTATATGCCGCCCTTCTCCGGAGACTCAGGGCGGCTTACAATGCGCTAAGCAATAGCCTTCATCCTTTTGTATATTTATACAAAGTCAGCTTGTTGCCCCCACAAACTGGGTCCTCAATTTACCCACCTTAGAAAGGATGGAAGGCTGAGTCAACCTTGAGCCTTGGAGAGATTCGAACTTACAGTAATTGCAGACAGCTGGATGTTAATTACAATGCATTAGTCTGCTGAGCTATCCAGGCTCCTGGATACCTCAATTCGTCTGGAAAGTGGCGCGAAGGCTCAAGCAAAACTTCCAAAGGGTAAAAGAGGAAGGGGAGCGAAGGAAAAGGGGCGCTGCTCCCCAACAAGGGCCGGACTCGGTAAAAGAAGCGCTTGGCTCGCTCTGATTCTTATCCGAGACAATCCGGCCTCCAAGCTAACTCGGGAGAAAGAGCCGCTCATTTCAAGGAGGCTCCGCTCACCTCCCTTAAGCTGCAACCCTTCCGAGATTTGTCTTTCTACACCTTTGAAACTGCCGCCCAGCCTGAGGCACTTCGGACCTGGCCAGCTCCGTTTCCTGCGGAAAAGGCAGCTTTTGCAACGCGCCCTGCTCTGCTTTACAAACTCTGGGAACCCAAAGGCGCTGATCGATCGATCGATCGTTCGACCGGGTGATGTTCCCGAGGAAAGCAGAACCGCCTGCAAAAATTAGTTCTCCGCGAGAAGCTGCAGCGATTTGGCTCTTTTCCCCGGCCTTTTGAGGCGCCGCTTTTCGCTTCGACTGACCAGGCCGTGAGATCACAGGAGAAGCTTTCGCTTTTGAAAGCCCCGCGGTTGCAGTAGCAGGAGAGAAAAACTCAGTCGCTGCTGGCAAGTCGGACCGCGGTCAGAAGGAACGAAAGCGGCGCCCCGGACTCTTTGCTGCCGCAGCCAAGCCGGGTAGTAAAAGTTTCTTCCCAGTTCGTTTCCCTTTGGCAGTTCTGGAGTGTCTGTCTGTGTGTGTGTGTGTGTGTGTGTGTGTCTGGGACCCTCAACAGTTGGGGCGATCAAAAAAAAAAGCTGCGCAGAAGATGAAAGAAACAGCCAAGTTGAGACGGAAGAAGGAAGAGGAGGGGGAATGTCAAGGTCGTTTTGGACTGAGGTCCTTCCCACACAATCCGCGAGAATCAAGCGAACTGACCTCTCAGTAACCCAGTCTCCCTACCCGAATCCCCGGGGAATCAAGCGCAACTGAGTCGCGTGACAACATGCAACGTTTGCTCCCATTGCATGATTCCAGACAATGCAAAGAGGATATGTGAGTACCGTGCGGACAAAGCGTGTGAACTCGCCGACACGAGTTCAGAAAACGAGGCAATGAACGGCAGGAATCAGGCCGTGTGAAGCGGCCGTAGAAGCTTGTGAAGCGGTCCTTGCTACGTTTCCGAGGGCCCCGTTAGTTGCAGTCTGTGACACGGAGATCACTGCAGACCCTTTGTCCCATCGCCGCCTCTAGGTTCCCTTTCCGACGACCCCGTTCGTAGATCTGAGTTTTAAAGTCTCAGAGTCAGCCACTTTCAAGACGGCCCAAGAAGGCCTTTTCCCCCTTCTGGCTAAGACCCCACGCCCGCCCGGGAAGCGGAGGAGGAGGAGGAGGAGGAGGTAAGGGACAGATCATCACGGAGAAAATCTCTCTGTGTGGCCGCGGACGACAATTTGGCGGCAAATAAATCTGTAGTTTTTCAGAGATCAGCTTTGTCAGGCATCTCAAATACGCCATTCCACCATTGTATTCTGTGGGTTTGAAAGAGGATGAGCGCAGCGTTATTGAACTCCACGTGCCCTTGCCTTCCACGAACCCGACGCCCACAACACCTCACCCCAGTTGCATGGGATAGGAACTCCCACAGGCATTGATCCTCTGCTCAGGGATTGTGAAAGCCACACAGGGAGGCCACCAAAGGTAGGATAATGGTGACCTCTTTAATTCTTTCAATTCGCTTCCCCACCCCCACCCCAACTGGCAGGCCCCATCTCCAACTTATGTATCCCTTGATCCTTGGCAGCAGGACATTTCAATGAGTTCCTAGTTGTGGATTGTGGGAAGAATATTCCAATCAACAATAAAGGAGGACAACTGCCAATGATACCACTCAATAGGAAACCTATTGAGAAATAAATTGCCCTCCTTACATCCCTTAAGAAAATGGTAAAGAGATGTCAGGCTGGGCTTTGGAAACCCGAGTCTGGGAGAAGTCTCTAAAGGCGAGTTTTTCTTAACCTTTAAAGAGTGTGGACTTCCATTCTCAGAATTCCCTAACCAGCCATGCTGTCTGGGGAATTCTGAAGTTCACATTCTTAAAGTTGCTAAAGTTGAGAAACATCCCCCTAAGTTAACGCAACCTATCTTATAGTGCTGCTGTTTCTAGGATGATCTCTGCTGAGCTCCTAGATGCAAAAACCACTTGAACTGATTGTAAAAATTACAAAGGAAACTGGGAGGACAAGAGCTGAATATACTGATGCAAACTGGAACTGTATACAGTGAAGGCAAAAGGCAACCTCTTTCCATTGTGGATGCTGCTATCCAGAAACAATTCTCTTTCAATGATTGACTTTTTAAGTTCTAAGCAAGGAAGTTCTCTGTGCAATGTCCATACATGGCAAATAGTTTAAAATTATTTGGATCCTTAGGGTTGTACCAGAAGGTCTGAGTCAGAGGCTGGTCCTTTCATAGGGGAGAAAGTCTTAGTGGGTCCTGACTGTTCCTCTTCTGAAGAGTGTCCAGGGCTATCCCCGACTGCTTCAATGCTTCAATGGCTGTAACATGCCACTGGACAGGGGTCTGCAACCTTAAACACTCAAAGAGCCATTTGGACCAGTTTCCCACAGAAAAGAAAACACTGGGAACCACAAAACCCTTCCCGTACCTATTTCTTGAGCAGCCACAAAACTAGCATACGTAGTTTTTTTATTTTATTTTTTTTTTAATTTGATTTATATGCCACCCTTCTCTGGAGACTCAGGGCAGCTTACAATGTGCTAAGCAATAGCCTTCATCCTTTTGTATATTTATACAAAGTCAGCTTATTGCCCCCACAATCTGGGTCCTCAATTTACCTACCTTAGAAAGGATGGAAGGCTGAGTCAACCTTGAGCCTGGTGAGATTCAAACCTGCAGTAATTGCAGGCAGCTGGTCTTAATAACAGGGTGCTTTAAACCACTGTACTACCACTGTACTACTAATTCAACATTTAATTAGTTGAATTAAATGTTTTCTTTTCTTCTGAAACTTTTCTTTTCATGGATTTATCCATGGTTGGCCTACTAGGTGTTGAAAAGCTCAATAACTTGCATGCTGACAGGTGTCACACATTGGTGGTTTTGATGCATATTTTGAATGACAGGAAGCTGCAGCAGAGGGGTGAAAGAGCCATATGCGGCTCCAGAGCTGCAGGTTGCTGACCCCTGCACTGGGAGAATTGAAGTCATATCTTGAACTGGACAAGGGTCTATACTCCCAGCAAGTGGGCCTGGAATGGGAGACCCCCAGCAAACTGAGTCTGAGTCCTTCGGGAGTAGGGCGGTATATAAATCAAATAAACTAAACTAAACTAAGGGATTCAAAAAATGTTGGGAAGCTAAGAAAGGTAATGTGGATGTATCCAGAAAGTCAACACAGGTCAAACTTGACTTGAAGGTTTTTACCCTATACTTCAATTAATGTCATGTGGGGGGGAAACAGCACTTCCCTTCTGAATCCCATTGTATTCATCTTTAAATCCACAGATTGATGCATTGCCAATTGATTGCTAATTGATTGATTCCCAGGA